CAATATACCTAACTCTACAAAAGGTACAAAAATAATGTGATCTTTTGGGCAATGAGTCAGAGAGAAAAGGACGAAATGTTAGGTGACCTGGGTTCTACTCTTGAAAAAAAATCATTAACCTCTTTGGGCCCAGCATCCTCCCCTGTGAGAGGATGTACACTTGGAAGCTCTTTTTAGCTCTACTGATAATAATCGTCCCATGAGGTATGTACTGGGGTTACTCTAACCCCTATTTAAGGAGAGAAAATTAAGATTCAGAGAGATTGAGAACATTGTCCAAGGCCACACAGTTAGAAACTGGCAGAGCTTGCAAAGTTATAGCCTACATAGCTGACTCCAAACTTTTAAACAATGTTTTATTTTCTTTTATTTATTATTTTATTGTTGTTATTATAATTACCATGAGAATTTCTACTACCTTGCAAGCAACTGGAAAAAAAATTAATTTGTGTATCATTTTCTATCTGAGGACAGTCTTCCAGGGATCTTCAAGGATTTGCCCAAGGCCATATATCTAGTAAATATTGAAGCTGGGGCATGAACCCATTATTGTCTGATTTTAAAGTCTAAGCTCTTAGCCATTATGATAAATTTCTACTTAGGATTAGCTATCCCTTTCTTGAAGACACATAGAGGATATAGTCATAAGAGAGTTCATAATTATACCGAGTAAACTACCTAATTCAGGATCATTGGGAGCCAAGTTTGGTGGTCTTAAATTCAGAAATATATCTGGCTAACCAGGATGCAGGTCAGACTCAGATCTCATTCTAGCACCAGCACAAAGTATAAGTAAGTTTCTTATTTAAATAATTTTAATTTGAGCTGTTCAGTGGCTTGAACATACCCAAGGGGGAGCCACCAAAAAAACAGAATTATCTTCTGGAGGGCAGACCCCTTGTTGTACAGGTTTTCCCTGCTAGGTGAGTATTCTAGGAACCCACCTGTATCAGTGTATGAACTAGTGTTGTGGTGAGAGGCTGTGTTCAGCTTTAGCGAAATTTTTTTGAATACTATTTCAACACATTTGCTCATTTCACAATGGGTGATTTGTGAATGCACCTGCCCATGCTGCACTGAGTGTTCAGCAGTTTTTGACCAAAAAAAAGTCATGACCTCCCATGCCCTACTCTCCCTATTAACTCAATCTCACTCTGAGTGAATTTCTTTTGTTTTTCTGGATGCTAAAAGGTCTCAAAGGAAAACATTTTGTGGATGTGGAAGAGGTGAAAGAGAAAGGCATCAAAATACATGAGCTAAAAAATTGTTTTGAGCAGTGGAAAAAATCATCTTGATAGGTATATTGCATCAAATAGAGAGTACTTTGAAGATGACTGAAGTTTAAACATGTAAGAATAAACACACAATTTTTTATAAATAAATTCCAGTTTATTTGGTTCCCTCCTATATGCAAATACCAAACACCAAGTCCATGATATTAGAATTTATTTTAATACAAACAAGTCCAAACAGAATGTATTATCTAATTAAGAAAATATAAACATTTACTATTTTCCTATTATAACACTCTATTCCATTCTTTGAGCTGGAACAGCCAACATTAGAGTCTTTTATTCAATTCAGATAGGCCCCACATTGAGCCAGGAGGTACCAACTGTGCAAAATAATCTTCTCCAGTTGCAGTGGTTGCAGAATGGAAGTTCATGCCTCTCATGATCTGTTTTTTATGGTTTGTCTGTCATCCTCCTTATTTCCTTCCTCATGAGACATTTCAGTCCTTGCACTGTTCAATAAAAAGATATAGTGTGTATGTCTATAGCATCACTGGATGTCCAAGTGAGGACAAAAGTCACAGAACAAAAGAGAGCTAGTTAACAATCTTTGTAGGAGGCATCACAAAAACCCAAGTAAGGCAATTGCTTAAGTGCCATCAACAGCAGCTGTTTACATGACAAGCTTCAAAATTCAAGGCTTTATTTCCAAAACTGGCCTGAAAGAAAAGACAAATTTTTTTAATCCTTTTCATTATTGTCCACGATTGTTACGATAAATAATAATAAATTAAAAGACCATGGATTAGTGTCTGAGATAAATTTTAGGAGCTATTTATTAACATAACCCAACAGGCATTCATATGAATTTTCTCAAAAGATGGTAACGCACAGTACCTTCAAAAATCAGACCTCTTATAAGGAATTAAGGAGTACCAATTGATAGTTACAAAATAGTCATGAGGATGAAAAGTACAGTACAGTGTGTATATATGTTTGTGTGTGTGTATATATATACACATACACACACACATATATATATATATATATGGTGCTATATATATATATATATATATATATATATGCTGTACTTTAATATTGAGATGTCAATAATATTATAATAATGATGTATGATGCCAGGTGAATACTGGAAATATCTGGGGGATCACTTTGTAAAGTATATGATTGTCTAATCACTATGCTGTACACCCAAAACTAATACAAAGTAAAATGTAATTGAAAGATAAATATAAAGAATGAAAAAAAGATTTAAAAAATTAGACCTCTTTTAAATATTATTTTATCAAAATAATATAGTCAGAAGGAAAAGAGATCACAATACTACTTGGTAAAGTATTGCTAATAGAAATAATAAATGAGTGTATGAGGAAAACATTTCAAATGTACACCCCAGTTTTTCCTTTTTAAACATCAACAATTGACTTTTACATATACTTAAAACCATGGAGAATGGAGCAATGGGATCCACACACACACGCATTTTCCATCTTACATGCATTCTGAAAAAAGAATTGCCGAACATTTATTGATATTGCACTGTAGCTCATTCACATATAGCTCAAACTAGCATTTTTCAGAATGATTAGTTTATGTGTGTATGTGTGTATTCAATGTAGGTAGCCTTTGGTCGATGTTCACTCACAAGAGAGTGGGATGGAATTGCATCATACACACGTTGAATTAACACACATCCAACCACACATAAGCATGGCAAAAAGAAACAGAGAAATGCAACTGAAGGGATGTGAGGAGTCTGCCTACTATTCCACTCAATGTACATATGCCTCGGGGAGAATGTGACATAGGCAACAGGAATCTGCTTGTCCCTCAGTCATACAACTTCCATGAATCTCTTCTAATGGAAGCATTTTGCTGATCCTAATAGTCTCACATTAAAGTCATACATTGTGGTTCCTAAGTACAAGCCAACCCTTTCTTGTCTTCAGCCCCCTAAAAGCAACCTGTTTCACTGCTGTAGAAAGACTTAGCTGTGTCAGATTAGAATATTGTCTCCAACAAGTCTTCTTCCAAAAGACACTGTTCAGATAGCTTTGGAACTTCTCGTTTTTTGTTTTTTTGCACTGACTTTAGAATCTAATCTTTGGGTAAGATGAGACTCTACTGTAATTATTAAAAAAGGGTAGGAATTAGGATTATTAGGACTAACAGGACCTAAAATTATACTGAGTTAGCATTGAGGACATTGGCTAATGTTTAGGGCTTCTGTTGCACTGGGGCTTTTTCTACTGCATGAATGTACTGCAAATTTCCTTTAAAAAGGTAGACCTGTTTTTTAAATTTAGACATAAATATGGCCAAGAAACCAAGGGTCCCAGGTAGACTCTCTGCTTTTTGTTTGGCCACCAAAAATACTATGCAATTCTGAAACTGTTCTGGGAGATTCCTTTCAGAACCAGGAATCTAGGATTGAGGAAAAAAGGCTAAATAAGAGAAACTTCAGTGTGGATTTTTCTTTCAAAATCCATCACCAGATACATAGAAGCTAATATAGTCAAGTGTGTATATGTATACATGAGTGGTAATTCCCAGGGAATTTGCTATTATTACCACCTCTAATTGTTCTTGCATTGGATAGGCAAGGGGAGAATAAATAAATAAATTCATATTTTATCATTTTGCAAAGGATCTGGGTTAAAGAGCTTCACAGGCACCTTTCCTTGTCAATGTGCCTGTATCTGCAGCTGCATGGTAAAGCCAGTGGGACTGTGGTGTAGAGCCAAGAATGCCTTTCTTCACACCTGGAGAGCTACCATTCCTGACCCTTGAAAATTAAATCCAGTTCAGAAGTCACTTCAAATAAAACAATTTGGTGAGGGCTTCAGCAAACAAGGAGGCAGGGTTAATAACTATATGCATAAAAAGAAGATTAAGTGGTTAAGTGGTACTTCTCTAGGAAGGTTAAGTGGTACTACAAAAAGAAGCTGTTTGGGCTAAAAAGATTGTACATAGCTGACAGAGGGATGAATTGAAACAATGGCAAGAGTGGACTTATTTTTTGGGGGGCTCAAGAAATCCAATTCTCCACTCCCCTCCCCATGCACAAGGAAGGGTCTTTGGTCTGGAGGAGATAGGTAAAATTTATACATCATGGCAAATAGAAAGACTGCATCTTAAACCCTAGATCTGAGGGTCAGGGTTATGTTGGTTTAGAGCCTTCCCAAAGAAGCTTTGACCAGGGTCTAGATGGAATTCAACACAACCGTGTCCTCATAGAGTCATTTTGCAGCTAGAGGGATTAGGACTACTTCAAGACCATAGCTCTCTCTAGGACAAAGGGCACTTTGGAAAAATCCCAAATTAGTCTGCATTGTTAGCTGCTGGGAAGAGCATAGGGAAGTGATGGGTAATCTCAGCTCTTCGAAGAGTGTGGACTCTGTTACAGTGCTACTGTGGTTTGATGTGTCACATAGATGAGCAGCTCCCAGTCAAAGACTGTTTCTCTCCTCTGTGTCCTTACTGGCCATGGATGAGGAATTACCTCTAGAGGCATCTTCAAACAGTAAGAACTTTGGTTGTCACTGTGCCTTTGTGAAAGTAACTGGAAACAAGATTCACACTTTTCTTTCTTCTCCTCAATCTTTTCTTATCTACCAGTCTCTAAGATGCTCAGTGTGGAGAGAGGAAGTCAGATTATCAGTCTTAAGGAGAGCTGTACAGCTGTAGTAACAGCCACCCTCCAATCTGAAAATGGATTAGACAAAGGCACTAGGTGCCAAACCTATGGGGTCATGGGGATACTTTTATAGATTTCCCATTTCTGTCATACTGGTGCACCAACATCTTGATGCAGTGTGAGTTGGCTGGTGAGATCCAGGGGCTACTTGTTATGGAAAAGTTATTGTTGATGTAGAACTGCACAGGTTGCTTCTGGCACCTGAAGAAGGCCTTGAGTGTGGCAGCTGCCATGGTGCGGAAACGCTTGCTGATGAAGCAGTAGAGGAAGAAGTTGATGGTGGTGTTCAGCAGAGCCAGCATGTTGGCAACATCTGACATGATGTGCACCAGCCAGCGGTTCTCAATGGGAGCCCCATAAAGGTGGTAGAGAATCATGACAATGCGAGGGGCCCAGAGTGTGGCAAAAATGGAGGTAATGGTGAACAAGATGGCAGTGGTTTTCCCTGTGGAGTAGCCACGGAGGTGAAAGTCACTCTTCCTCCTGAGCTTATACACAATGACTGAGTTCAAGATGAAGAAGATGGAGCAGGGTACCAGGTACACAGTCAAGCAGTGAATCCAGATGAGAACATGATGCGCAGAAGTGCTAGTATAGTCTTCAGTCCAAATGTTAGGCCACCAATAGTAGGGGATACTGGTCAGGAAGCAGGTGATGTAAACACTGACAATGACTTTCTGGGTGCGGGCTGGGTAGGAGACCGCGTGGTACTTGAGCGGGTGGCAGACTGCGATATACCGATCAATGGTTAATGGCACAGTAATCCAGGTGGAGGTGTGGATGGAGGAGAATTCCAGCACTTCTATGATCTTATTGGGCATCTGAGGCATTTGCATGTTCAAGATGAAATCTTCCAACAAAAAGTCCACGAAAACAATGAAAAAGAGGACCAAGATGTCAGCCACAGCAAGTGCCAAGAGATAGTTGTAGGAGGACTTCTGCCTCCTAGCCACCAGCTGAGAGAGGATGATCACTGTCAGGATATTTGCTGTGGAGAGAAGAAAATTTGCTTTATCTCTGAAAATTTGCTATATCTGAAGATGACTTTAGGGCTATCGTGGGGTCCCAGGCATAAGTTTATTGAGTACTCCCATGAAAATTGAAAGGTCAGAACCAAGGCTTTTGTGAGATAATCACTGCACCACAAATTATACCTCATATGAACATGTGGATACTATTTTGACACAGTTTTATGCTCATATGTACCTTGTCCTCACTTCAGAAATGAAACTGGAGTTCAGAGAGCTGAAGGTACTTGCTTAGAGTCACACAGTTAGTAAGTAATGGTGACAGGGGCCAATCCTAGATATAATAATCCCAAATCTTGTGCTTTTTCTTTTGTCCAACCACATGGAACATATAGGGCTGAGGTGGCTTTTCTTGCTTCATGTGTTCAGGTAGGAGACTGGGCTATAGGACCTTGTAAGAATCTTTTTAGAAATTGGATTTCAGGTCTTTTCCTATTTAAGTAGATTTAGAATTGAAGGAATGGAGATTATGACCTTTCAATTAATTTAAAAATAAATAATGTTTATTTTTCAAGCAGGTAATCTACACACATGGTGTATAATTAAAAATAAAAGCAAAGTAAATTTTCCCTCCAATCTTGATCAGGGCAATCGCAGTTAATAAATAACTGATGCTTACATATATTCATATATTATGTGTTTAGAGTTTTTGCATAGAACTATGTTATTTTTCTTGGAGTCAGGTTTGTTTTGAAAATGGATCCAGCCATGGCTGGTGTAGCTCAGTGGATTGAGAGCTGGCCTGCGAACCAGAGGGTCGCTGGTTCAATTTGCAGTCAGGGCATATGCCTGGGTTGTGGGCCAGGACCCCAGTGTGGAGGGGGCATGTGTGTGAGAGGCAGCCACACATTGATATTTTTCTCCCTTTCTTTCTGCCTCCCTTCTCCTCTGTCTAAAAATAAATACATAAAATCTTTAAAAAAATAAAATGGATCTATATAATTTCTGATCTGTTTTGAAATGTCTCTTTAAATAAGATGCATCTAGAAAGTCATTAGGGACTCATTCTAAAATGATGTTTCAAAAGAAAATATATGGACATCATTGTACATGTTTATGCTCATTAAGTTTTATAGCCAATCCTGAATTTTGAACATTATTAATCCTGTTTTGCAAACAAGGGTCTCAGAGAACTTGTGTCCCTTGTCTGAATTCCAATGGCAAAACTAGAATCTTACTCTGGAACTCTCTTTTCTTTCTCTCTCTCTCCTTTTAAATTATTAGGCAATAGTTCCCATGTAAAAATGTCTTGTAATATACACAGCCAGGTGTGCTCAAATTAAACAAATTTTAACATTTTATTATATTTCCTTTTTTAAAAAAAAGAAATGACAATCTAGATATAGTTGAAGTCTTCTTAAATTACTGCAGTCCCATTTTTTAACTTCTCTTTTTTCTTTTTGAGGCAGCCACAGTGTTTCGGTCTGCAGGGTTATGCTGTGTACTCCTACTTTCTTTTACTGAATACACCATTCAGCATGTTTTGTTTTTGTTTTTTTCACTCAATATTACTTTTGGAAACCTGTGTTTGTTGATATGTGTAGATCTAGTTCACTCATTTTAATGACTATATAGCATTCCACTATGTAAACTTACTATAATTTATTCATTCTTATATAATATACATAGAGACATATCTCTACAAATAAATATATATGTGCCTATATATGTCTATATCTTTGTATGCATACACATATAAACATACACAGATGTACATAAACATGGCTATATGTGCTTATATATACATACACATTATACAGACATACATATGTGTGTGTGTGTGTGTGTGTGTGTGTATATATATATATATATATATATATATATGTTTGTACATATGTGTGGGGACATAATTCTAGGCAGTGGTAATGGCAAGTGCAAAGTCCCTGGGGTGGGAATGAGCTTGATATTCATGGAACAGAGAGAAGGCCTCTTATCAGTCCTTAGTACCATCCCCATTTTGTAGATAAGGAAAGTGAGGCCTGAATTTTTAGGTGATTTGCCAAAAGCCACATACTGAGTGAGTGGGGGGAGTCAGAAGGTAACTCTAGCTATATCTGACTTTAAGGCATATCAAGTCCTGCTTTGTTGATTTTTGGTCATAGGAAAAGGGTTATCAGCTCAAAAAAAAGTGATTCCTGTTCCCGTGGCTTAGAAAAGTACCATCATTTCTAATAATCCCTTTTTCCTATCCATTAAACAATGCCCACTTTGCCTCCCAGACTCTAAGGAGGCAGGAATGAATATATGCTGGGGTCTCCCCAGAAAAAAAAATGTTATATATATTCTGGCTTTTTACCACTGTCTCTCATTCCCAAGTTGAAACCTGCTTGAAATGTGATGTTAAAGTTCTCATATCCAAACTCTTTAAAAACTATTTTTTCCTCATCTAATTAATGCTTTAAGTCAGGAAGTTGTCAACCCCAAACTGAGTTTCTAGGTATTCACATTTGACATTTTCTTAAGTTTCTAGTAATTGCCTTTTATGAGAAACTAACTTTAAGACACTGAGTTTCCTATTTCTTTTGTACAGGTAGATTCCTCCCCAAGGCACCATCAAGAATGCTTAGGAGATCCTTGGAATTAGATAGAAGTGTGAGCAACAGAGGCCCCCAAGGGAAAGGAATGATGCCTATGTACTGACTTTCTAAAAAAGAAATGAGAAAGTAGAGTTCTTAATTTGACATTTGCTATAATTACCCACAATAAAAATCATTTCATTTACACAGTGGCACAATTTTCCCCACAGAAAGGGAGTGGTGTTGATAGAGTCTAGGTATATTTATAATGGGTGAATAAGTGAAGAAGCCCAAGTCATCACTCCCTGAAATTCCATTTCTCAGCTTTTCTCTATAACTAAAGACTCAGATGTTTGTTGTAGAAACCTAACCATTCTTATCCAAGCAAGCCCCAATGAACTTCATGATCAAATGTCAATGCTTCTAGAAAGTAAATCCTTTCTGTCAATGCTGTCATTGGACAGGTTTAAGCTTTTAGATAGCAGAAAGGCCATGTTTTGTGACTGAAAAACTTCTCAGTGATATTCTTGGTGGGATTCATTTCCTGTACTTTGCAGCTTACTGTGCTCAAACCTGAGAGGATTTGGGGAGTGGCCAAGAGAACAACACAGGCAAGACTGTCAGACCTCAGCATTAAATTGGCACAGAGAGAAAGGGTCAAGGTCTTCCAGAGTTATTTTCTGTGTCCATGAAGACTAAGATGTCCCTGCAATGTTCCTTGGTAGAGGCAGCTGGAACAGAGCACTGAATGGGAATTCTGAGTTCTGATATGTTTCTTTTCCTTTTTCTCTTTGAAAATGATTTTTCAATTACAAAAGTTAAAACACACTTCTAAAAAATCAAATATGGAAGATTATCATCCTGTAGTTCTGGCCAAGATGGAGGCATTGGTAGAAACACTTTGTTTCCTCACACACCCAAAAGAAGGAAAACAACCAATTTAAAAACAAGAACTTCCAGAAAATCAAACTGCATAGAAGTCTGACAACCAATGAGGTAAAGAAGAAACATTCATCCAGACTGGTAGAAGGGGTGGAGACAGGAAGGCGGGGCAGAGAGGATGCACAGCATGGTGGCAGCTGGTGGAAGGAGTGGGCAAAGTGGTGGCTGGTGGATGAGATTTCCCACATTCATGTGTGGATAAGCCAGGAGGGACAACTGCAAAGTGAGACAAATCATGCAACCCAGGGTTCCAGAGTGAGAAACTAAAGTCTCAAAACATCTGGTTGTGGAAACCAGAGATTGTGGGGTTGTGGCAGCAGGAGAAACTCCCAGTCTAGAACATACATGAGCCCTCTCACCTGAGAATTATGATGTGAAAGGCACAATACAGTTGTGGGAAATGAGAGAAGTGAAAGAAAGTGGGGCAAGAACCAAGCAAGCTAGCAGGGAGCAGAGTTCCCCCTTTTACTCCTCCCCCACATACAGCACCATAACACAGCAATGTGAATGGCCCCACCCTGGTGAATATCTAAGGATCCATCCCTTACAATGTAACAGGAGCATGGAGACAAATAAATATGGCCTAAATGAAAAAAGAGATCAAAACTCCAGAAAAAGAACTAAGTGATGACGAGATAGACCACTTATCAGATGCAAAGTTCAAAACACTGGTAATCAGGTTGCTCATATAAATGATTGCATATGGTTGCAAAATGAAGGAAGAAATGAAGGCTATACAAGTGAAATAAAGGAAAATATACAGGCAACCAACAGTGAAAGGAGGGAAATCAGGGCTCTAATCAACAATTTGGGACAGGAGGAAAGAATAAACTTTTAACTGAAATAAAATCAAGAAATAAGAATTCAAAAAATTGAGGAGAGGCTGAGGAACCTCTGGAACAACTTTAAACATCTCAACATTCTAATTATAGGGGTGCCAGAAGAAGAAGAGGAAGAGTAAGAAATTGAACTTATTTGATCAAATAATAAAACTTCCCCAATCTGGCAAAGGAAATAGACTCCCAGGAAGTCCAGAAAACTCAGAGAATCCTAAAGAAATTGTACCCAATGAGGAACACACCAAGACACATCATAATTATATTACAAAGATTAAAGATAAGGAGAGAATCTTAAAAACAGCAAGAGAAAAGGAGGTAGTTATCTACAAAAGAGTTCCCATGAGACTATCAGCTCATTTCCCAAAGAAACCTTATAGAGAAGGGGCTGGCTAGAAGTATTCAAAGTCATGAAAGACAAGGACCTACATCCAGATTACTCTCTCCAGGAAAACTATCATTTAGAATGGAAGGGCAGATCAAGTGCTCTCCAAATAAGGTAAAGTTAAAGGAGTTCATCATCACTAAGCCCTTATTATATGAGATGTTAAAGGGACTTATCTAAGAAAAAGAAGATCAAAATCTATGAACAGTAAAGTGACAACAAACTCACAACTATCAACAACTGAACCTAAAAACAAAAACAAACTAAGCAACCAACTAGCA